GTTTCAGGATGGCAGCAGCTGGGTGTTTTCCCCTTCACTTCTTGAGCCTCCCACTCTAGGACATGAGCACCCACTCATACATCAGGGAAGGGAACTGGGGAGGGACAGGTGGCCATAGGCACAGCCGTGGTGGGTGGAAGTCGGAGCCTTAGAGAAGGTTTCCATGAGCACCAGGGAGACTGGAAGGGAGGCTGAGTTACACATTCAGTCATGCACTCGGCAGACATTTCCTGGGGTCTCCTAGGGGACAGCGCACCCAAGAGCAGCCCCGTTGCTCTGCGGGAGACCCCGTGTTCTCCCAAGGACATGGGAGATGAAGTCGTCTCGGGGAAGGTTTCCTGAACAACTTCTTTTATGCCCAGAGGCCGGAGACAGAGGTGAATGATTGGCTCCTGCCTCAAGCACCCCAGGACCTGGGAGGTGCAGGTGGACAAGTAAATGATGGCATGATAGAGGTGCCATGGTAGATATTTGGGAGCACACAGGACAGAAGACTGGTCACTTCTTCCTGATGAGGGTGTGGAGAGTGAGTCTGGAAAGGCTTCATGGAGGAGGTGTCTTTTGAGCAGGGTCTAGAAAGCAAAGGGGCATTCCCAGGTGGTCTAGGAGGGGCACTGGAGAGAGTGCAGAAGGGGTGATGCCTGAGAAAAGCATGATGCTTGAGGAAATACAAAATAAATAAATAGGTTTGGAGGCAGGGTTTGGGAGTGGGGAAGGGAAGTGTGTATCTGGAGAGATGAGTAGGAGACAACTCAGGAAATGGTAGGTCTGCTGTATTGGATGGGATTAGATTTTCTGCATATAACAACAAACTAAAATAGCAGTGACTTAGACACATAAGGATTTATTTTCTTTCCTCTTAGGGAACCAAAGGTAGTCAGCCTAGACTTGGTATATGGCGATTTCCACCATATAAGCAATATCCCAAAGTCCTCTCCTCATTCCCTTCATCCACAGAGCATGGCTCCATCCTCAAAGTCACCTCATGTTCCAAGATGGCTACTAGAGCGCCAGCCATCACATCCCATCCATTGTACATAAAGGAACAAGAGAAAGGCAGAAGGGCATGCAGCTATCTGTGCTCCTTTCACAAAGCCTTCTTGGTAGTTCTACCCAGTGATTTGCACCTACATCTTATTGGCCAAGGCATAGTCACCTAGCTGCAAGAAATGAGGGGAGGTGGGAATTTGCAAAACAAAATGCCCAACTTCAGCCATTTCATCAAGGTGTCAAAAGATCAGAAGGAATTTTCCTCTCACAGAAAGGGAATAGGGTGTTCCAGGGAAGAGTAGCAGGTGCAAAAGTGAGCAGGTATGAAGGACCATGGGCTACTCGAGGAACAGTGAGTGGATCCGACCGGCTCGAGTGTAGACTGTGTGTGTGCGTGTGTGTGTGTGTGTGTGTGTGTGTATGTGTGTGTTATGTGTGTGCGTGTGTGCACACATATATATGTCTGTGTTACGGGGAAGGAGTTAGGATGAATTTTGAGAGGAGGATGGGGCTAGGCGTTGAGGGACTGTGAACACAGCAGGACGTTTGGACTTTGTTCTGTAGGAAAGCGTAGATTGTGCACTTTCAGGGAGTAAGGTAAGGGTTAATCAGATAAGGGTTTTTGGAAGATGAGTCTGAGCTGATGTTGGAGAGAGAACACGGGGTGGGGGGAGTGCTGGTGTCCTAACGGGTGCATCTTGTTCATGGGGCAGCGAGGGAGCAGGAGACACTCTAGGATGGGTGTAGGGGTCAGGGAAATCAAGTTGGTGTGGTGGGAAGGGGCCACGTTGTTGGGGCCCAGAGACTTACTGTGGGAAGAGATGGGGAGTTGCAATGATTTTACGTTACATGGGATTTGACCTCATTATGGATTCTTCCACGGCCAGCAGGTGCATATGTGTCTTAAGGGTGCTTGGTCTTGCTTTTCAGAGGAGGAAAAAAAGGAAACTCACTTTTTAAACATATTTATTTCTGGGGGGAGTACAAGCAGGGGAGGGGCAGAGAGAGGGCAGAGGATCCGAAGTGGGCTCTGTGCTGACAGCAGCGAGCCTGATACGGGGCTGGAACTCACAAATCTGCGAAATCGTGACCTGAGCCAAAGTCGGAGCCACCCAGACCCCCCAGGAAACTCACTTTTGCCAAGTGCTTCCATGTACTGGGTTTACCACCTCATATCGCATTTTGCAGATCTGAAAACAGAAACACAGAGAGGTTGGGGCGCCTGGGTGGCGCAGTCGGTTAAGCGTCCGACTTCAGCCAGGTCACGATCTCGCGGTCCGTGAGTTCGAGCCCCGCGTCGGGCTCTGGGCTGATGGCTCAGAGCCTGGAGCCTGCTTCCGATTCTGTGTCTCCCTCTCTCTCTGCCCCTCCCCCGTTCATGCTCTGTCTCTCTCTCTCTGTCTCAGAAATAAATAAATGTTACAAGAAACACAGAGAGGTTAAGTAAGCAACATGCCCACAGTCACACAGCGAGAAAGTGGCAGAACCAGAGAAGCCAGTCCCACCAGTCCCCTGGACACGGGAGTCAGAAAACAACACCTGACCCTGTTTCATAGACGGGTTGTTTTTATTCCAAGGGGATATTTTGTTTTACGTTACATGGGCTTTGACCCAGGTGTCGTGTGTCAAACTATTGGTGACAAGCCAAGTATTCATAAGATTCTTTTAAATGTACTTGTTCAAATGAAGCCCTCCCGAGTCTCTTATGAGGCAGCATGACGGAAGGAGAGAATGTGGGAGGGAGGCTGGGAGAACAACCAGTGGTCTGGTCCCAGCCCAGCTGGTGACTCCTCTGGTGGCCCAGGTCCCAGCCCTCCACTTCCTGTTTAGAGTTTCCTCCTCAGTGAACTGGAGGGTTCAGACTGGATCAGTGTTTCCCAAATAGTCTGTGGGCTCCACCTTCACAATGCCTGCCATGCTAGCCTGCCCCTTGTGCTGTTGTTCATTTACATTCTTCTTTAAATATATTCATGTTGATTATTATTATTTTTTGGAACTCAGCTTCGACATAAACAATAAGGTCTGTAAGGTCATGGGTTTGATTTGACTTTCTCTAACTCCTATTAAAATAAACTGATGACTATAAATAAAATGCGAAAGTTTGTCTTCGGAAGGACGATAGCTAACAACTGTTGAACCGAGCGCTTTCCTAAGCACTGTGCACACGTGGCCTCATTCCATCCTCCCGGCAACGTCTTGAGGAAGGTACTTTATTGTCCCCATTTTGCAGATGAGCAAACCGAAGCGCAGAGAGGTTGGGTATCATGCCCGGGATCACACAGCTAGATCCACCTGAAATAACCTTCTAATCCACCAGCTTTGGGAAGCTCAGGGCAAGTCCTGGCTCGGACTCAGGTGCCACGATTCCACAACTGGTTTCATGGCTGCAGGCGTGGTGCCGTGAGCTGTGAAGGGGGCTGGCCGGGCGGTGGTGCCCGAGCAGGGGGCACCTGCAGGGGCTACCAGGAGCAGGCAAGGAGCGCAAGCTGGAGCTGACTCACTGGGCACCTCTGGGGACAGAGAGCAGGGGACCTGGGGACTGGGAGGGGACGTGGGATTCTGCTTCAGCGGGTAGAAGGCTGGGCCCAGCGGCCTCGCAAGTTGAGACGGAGGAGAAAGGAACAGCTGGCTGATGTGCCCTCCTTTCCAGGGGCAAGTTTAGAGACACTTGTTTGGAGTTTTCCTTGTTCCGTGAGGCATTCGTTTCCAGCAGGATGATTCACACCATCCCTGGCTTGCTGCACATTTCTCTCCCGTGGATGGGATACAGTATCGAGAAACTCTTGTGCCCAGGGCGCTAATTACCTGGACCGCATCCCGGGACACCATTGCTAACAGGATGCCTGGTGACTCACCTGTGCTTCCCTGTAACGAATGGACTTGGCATTGCCCAGAGCACATCAGAACAGCAGGATCCACTGTGCTTTGTTCCCTCCTGGGAAGGGGAACAGCCCTGTCACTTCCTTCTGCTCAGGCCTCGCCTCCTCCTCCCTGCTAGGGCCCTGGCTTCTGACCTTCTGCTAGGGGTGACTGGCTGGGCAGCCTTGGGTGGCCACTGTGCCTGTCTGGGTCTGTGCTCATCTGGATACAGCCCAAACTGTCCCCTGGTAATTTCGAGGTGTCTTCCACGGCATCTCTCACATACCCACAACCCCACACGCAGGCTGTGCTCACCTTCCTGCCTTTCTGCTCTGGCCCCTGCTTATGCACATCTGGCCTAGAAGCTGCTTAGAGAAGCCTTGTTCCTGCCTCCACCTATCAGGTGGTGGCCATACCTTTCCAGGGGACTATATCTGGATGGCCCCGAGGCCTCCGGTACTCACACACAGGGCAGTCTGGACTCTGAACAGAGATCGGTGGCACTTTGTCACCTGAGCCCCAAATCAGCTTTGCTTTGGCCCAAAGTCACACGAGGCCCCTCGGCTTCTGTCTCTGATCTCTCTCTCCACAGGGGCTCAGGACCAGTCAGGGTCCCTAGGGACATCTACCCACTGCCCCCCCCCCACCTCTTTATTTCTCCCACTCCCTCTGCCCTGCTCGTCACCAAACATTCTTCTCTCCAAGCTTGAAAATAACCTTGTGTCTGAATGAAGCCACATACAAAGTAGTCTGCTGTGTGCATGTGGAAAGGGTATAGCGTGTGTAGGGAGGGCTGACGGTCCAGGTCTGCATGGTCCAACATGATAGTCACTTGAAACATAACCAGTGCAATTGAGGAACGGGATTTGTAATTTTCATTTCAATGTAAATTTAAAAACTAAAGCAGTGTAGAGCATTTTCCCGTTAAACACACTTTACTGTTCGGGAAATACTACAGCTCACTTTAACCTTTGCATCCCATAAGGTACTACTGTGGTATTGTAGTGTGTGTGGCCATTGCCAGCACTGTTTCCAGGACCTCACTAATTATTTTTTAATATCTGTTACTCAATGAAATGATGGTGTTTTGCATTTATTGAGTTAACTGAGATACTTTACTATAATTAATTTCACCACGTTTTTCCTTTTTCAACAGGGCTACTAGAAAATTACAAATATCACCCATATTATATTTTATGGGACAATGTTGGTCTAAGAGCAGAAGCCAGAGGACTTTTTCTGTAAGAGGCCAGATAGTAAATATTTTACACTCTGTGGATCATGTGGTCTCTGTCGCCACGCCTCAGCTCTGCCGCCATAATGCCGAAGCAGCCACGAGTAACACAGAAATGAATGAGTGGAACTGTGTTCCAATAAAACTTTATTTACAAAAGCAGGTGGCAGATGAGATTTGACCCGGGACGTCTCGTGTGCAGACTCCTGGTCTAGAGGAACAGCGGGCGAGGGGAAGTGGACCGTGAGGTGTAACATAGGAACAGACGAGGATTAAATGAGCAGCCCCAGGGCTAGTGCAGACCCTGAGCAGATGATGGAGAAAGTCCTCCAGAAATGTAACTGGGAGACAGGAAATTCACATTTACTGAGTGCCTCTTGTGAGCCGGGCTTTTTTCACATAGTTCACTTGTACTGACTCCTTTAATCCTCTCAACAACCTGTAGAGCAGATACAAGTACCATTATTAACCCCGGTTTCTTGATGAGGAGCCAGGATTCAGGCCCAGGGAGCCTGCCCCGCTGCCTCTCCCTGTTGTCTGGTTTTCTCACCGCGTCTCCCTGACTCGACTCGAACGGGGTGGGTGTTGGCAACCTAATTTCACAGAAGCACACTTGGCGCTTAGCAGGGCCGAGAGCTTGCCCGAGCCCACATCCTCCACCGGAGCCTGCCCTTGAGCCTAGGTCGCCTGTCTCCCAGGCAGAGTTCTCTTTCTGCTGTGCATCTCCTTGTAAGGGTTGCTCTTGTTTGCAAATCCGGGCCTTGATGCTACCCTGTTCTGGGTGTTGACTCCCTGGAACATGTAGCAAAGGTGATGTCTTTTGGCATGGGGCCAGGCACTCTCCCTGCTCCTCCGGGATGCGGGGTGGGGGTGCCCTGGGGAGCTGCAGACTGAGCTGGGCTGGGTTCAGGGACTCCATGTCGTGTCCTCTCCTCATCACAGCCAAAGACAAGGAGGTGGCGCCGCGAAAGAGTCCCCTGACTTTGTGCTTGTTAATTGTCTTCTCCTGGGTTCTTACTGATCCAAGGAGGCTGGAAAAAGCCTGGAGTAGGGGAGTCAGAGAAGTATTTTTCTATATACATATATAAATTGAAACAAAACCAGTATCGTAGTTTGTATACAGCTTTGTACTGTTTTTGTTGTTGCTTCATTTAATGTTATCATGGGCCATGTCCCGCATTAATAAGTATTTTCAGAAACAGAGGTTTTAGTATTTTCCCAAGATTCCATTTTACAGAATCATAATTTATTTCACCACTAATCCTTGTTGGATGTTCAGGTTGTGTCCAATTTTTTTTTTTTTTCTGTTATAAACAGTGCTCTGGTAAAACATCTCTGTAGGTAAATCCTTGATCTGTTGCCCTATTGATCTATTCCAGATTCCTAGCAGTGAGTTTACTTGCTCAAAGTATGGAAAACTCTGGATGTGGATTCCCCACACATACACACACCCGGGGCCCTCCCCAACCCCCACACCCATTCCTTGTCCACTCAGTCAGCTTTAGGGCCTCTTGGGTTGATCAGATGGGCAGGCAGACAGGAGAACTGAAAGCAGAGAGAGAAGCTGAACCGATCTTATCAGAAAGTTCTGGAGGGCTGGCACAATGGGAAAGCTGCCAGAGGGGGACCGAGAAGAGCATGGCCAGGGAGGAGAGGGGTCTGAAGAAGGATGTCGGGGCAGGTTTGAGGAAGGGGCAGGGAGGGATCAGAGCAGCGGTCCTGGAGTGTCACTTGGATGAGAGAGAATCATGGCCAAGGATACTAAAGAAGCTTGGCTCTGACATGTGCCAGGTAATTCCCTTTGCTACCTTCTTGGGAGACCCCAGTCAAGAATTCACAGTGCTTTTCAAAGCTCTGTGGAAACTCGATTTGTGTTTCTTTTGGATGTGTCATCATGCCAGGGCAGGCATTAACGTCCAGTTTTGTTTGGGCTGCAGGAGTTTGATGGAGATGATTACATTACCTGCTAGCAAAAGAAATTGTAAAAACCTGTGCCCTAACCAGGACCCTGTTTTGTGGCTCCCTCTCTAAAATGACTAATGGTTTCAGAAAAGTGTTTTCTGTGTAAACTGGGATGGGATGGTAGGACGATTAGTCTAGAATTTATGAGGCTTGATCCTAAGCCAAAATCTTATTCATTTGCTTGAGCAAGTCATGGAAACACTCGGGTCTCTGGCCCATTACTTATGTAACCGGCTGGCCCGACCCATCCCCTCTCAGTTTGGGGTATTGCTGCTGTACCTCAGAATCTCCCGGAGTGCATAAGTGGAGGCCCCCTGACCGGCCCCCAACACACATAGACTTAAGGGCAAGTAAGTCCGGAGCGCTGACTTTCCCTGTTCTGAGTTCAGGGATTCCTTTGGAGCAGTGCTGTCTGATAAAGTGATGTGACTCACATACGAATCACACGTATCGTCTAAATTTTCTGGTAGTCGCATTAAAAAAGGTAAGAAGAAACAGTTGACATGAATTGTAATGATACATTTTCTTTAACACAGCATATCCAAAATGTTATATTTTCAGTATGTGATTAATATAAAAAAATGAATCGCGAATGTGACTTTTTCTTCATACCATGTCTTCAAAATCCAGTTTGTATTTTACCCTTACAACATACCCTCAAGGTGGACTAGCCACGTTGCTATAGCCACAGTCGCCCTTGAGCCCACCTTCCTCGGTATCCACCCAAGGGCTGGAGGGGAGGGGAGGTGGGGCCTGGGCTTCCCCATGGGAGAATGCGCTGAGGAAGCACAGCGCCCTCTAGAGGCAGCGGCGTGTCTGGAGCAACTCAGCCTGATCTGGTCGCGGGTCTCTCTGCCCCTCTGCAGACCCAGAATCCCCTCCTTCTTCCGCATGTCCCTGCAGGGCCAGGCAGCTTTAGTTTTAAGTCCTGGAAGCACAAAAAGATCAGATTCTATATCCTTCCCCAGATAATGGGCTACTTGCCCAGCCCCGCACCTCTTTGGGGAAGACCTTCCTTCCATGATTCTGGCCGTGGTCACTCGCCCTGACTGACCATTGCAAGGACTCACCTTCATCAATTCTGGGGTGGCCTTGTCTTTTCCCTTTCTGAGGGACGCTGCCCTCCGTGGGCCATGGGTGATTTCCTGTCCCCTTCATCCTGAAGAACATGCACAAATGTCATCCCCAGCAAGGTGGCCAGCTGTTCTTATCAAAGAGGGGTGAGGTGGATGGGCTTGGAGCTTCTCTGCCTCGCTAAGTGTCCTCGGGCTGTTATTCTCATGACTCCACGCTTTCAGGAAAGATGATCTTTTTTTTTTTTTTTTTTTTTTTTTTTTTGCATTGAGGAAGAGAGGACCCCAGTGACTGGAGAGTGTCTTGAAACCGCCCTGCCCACTGCCCCCTCACAAATGGCTCTGAGAGCCCCTCCAGCCTGCGTCACCCAGCTTCCCTCCTCCCCACTCTCCTTTTGTCAAGTGGCACACGGAGATGTTATTTATTGTAGCATTCCGACAGATAAAAACCATTCCAATGATTTTCAACCCGGCAACGTCCTCTCTTTGAGTCAGTGTGTGAGTCATCTCCTTAATGCAAACCCTTTCTGCCCGCCCGCCTGTTCCCCTGTGGCCCAGCTCCTCACCACTCTTCCTGACCCCAACACCCACGCCTGACAGAAACCTAGCCCACAGCAGCCTCCTCGGCCAAAGGGCTTCACTTTTCCTCCCGTGATTCTGTCCAGGGCCTTATTCTGTACCCGGCTCCCAGGAAAACACGGCAGGACCCCTGAGGACAAACACTGGTTTCGAGTCAGCTGCGGCCCCAAAGATTCAGTTTGGTGTGGGAGGTCGGGGTTTGAAAACGATGGCGCAGGAAGGGGCTGTCTTACGTGTCACCACGGGCCAGAGGAGGTACTTAACTCTACCCTGAGATGCTAGAGCAGGACGGCTGAAAGCAGCGGGAGGTGGCGACGGAACTGAGACTTGCCCAATGACAGGTGACAGAAGGACGGCGCAGCAGAAGGAACAGCATGTGCAGTGCTCAGAGGCAAGAAAATCTTGGTTCCCTCCGACCCTGCCAGTGGCGGGGCCTGGCTTCAGGCGAGGAGGCGTGTTGGGGACCGGCGGAGACTGGGGAGGGGGTGGACGCAGGGGTCCGCCGTTAGGGCTAGCATGCCTGTCTCTATCCCACTGACCCCGAGAAACCACAGAAGGGCTTGAAGGAGCCCTTGCGAGGGGGAAGAGCTCACCCCCGTGGCTGTGCGGAGGATGGTCTCAGAGTGAGAAAGACACCAGCAAGCTGGAGGCAACACAGCGGAGGCTGGAGAGGAAATTGCCGCCGCGGTCCTGGCGGGAGACAGCGTTGAGCCGAGGCAGTTGCGTGGAAAAGGTGCAGCAGCTTCTAGAGCTCGTTAGGAGCGTAGAGGAGACAGAACGAGGAGCCATTTGGATCTGGCAGGTTCATTTCATTTCGGCGACCGTTTATTGAGCTGGGTAAGGAGCTCATTAAGAAATGGCATTTATGGGTTAGTGGGGAATGATCAGGAAGGAGGAATCAGGAACGACCCCTAGGGTTTCTAACTTGGGCAGCATCACATTAACTTGCCTGGCACTAGCTTTCCCTGCCTGGTGGTGGAGACTGGCCGGATATCAGGGCCCTTCAATGGTCTGCTCCAAGCTCTGATTTTACAGCAAAGGGAAGAGAAGCTTGGGGAAGTGCCCGATCTACCCAAATGCGCACAGCCGGCTCCTCTCCTAAATCAGGTTGGCTGTAAAGCCAAAGGAAACTTCTCCACCCACTGCATAACCCTGTGTCTTAGGAGGCTTTTATTCTCAGTCACCCCTGGGAGATCCAGAGATGTTAACGGCATTACAAAGCAATGGGGAGGCAAGAACTTGTAATTAAAATTCTCAGGTTTTGTTATTCCTGCTCTTCATTCAGATGTCGGTGGAGCTAAGCCAGCCAGCAGACTTTTTTTTTCTCTCAGACGCTTGTCTGGGGGGGGTCTCTGGGGAGAGGGCCGCTGCCTCCTGCCTCACGAATCAGCCCCATGCTGCCTTCCTTGCCTGGCTTACCACAGAGCTCGCGAGAAAGCCCTCCATGCATGTTTGTGGAACTGACCTGGTGGCTGATCGGAGCCGCTCAGTCTCCTGAGCTCCGCACAATCAGGTCAACCCCCCTGAGGTCAGGTGGAACCTCCAGGCCCTTTCTGCATCTGCTTCGACTCTCTGCTCCGGTTTGAGCTCTTTGGCACGTGCCCCCACTTGGCAGACGGTGACCTGGCCAGCTCCCATCTACCCAAGCATCGCTCCAGGTTCCATGATGGCCCCGGCTCTCTCTGCACGGTGTGAACTGATTGTCCCTCCTTGGGCCCCTCCTCCAAGACTCTGGGCCTATGCTTCTGGGTGTTTTTGTCTGTCCAGTGTTGCTTCTTTCGATCCCGATCACCCACCTAAAACCTCATCACTAGCTCCATGGGGGGGCTGATCCCACCCGTCAGTGACACCGCTTACCCTGAACCAATTTCGGGTCCTATTATGTCATTTCATTTACTCTTTTCCAAACCCTGTGAGAGACGGACCTCATCTCCATATCGAAGTGAGGAAAATGAGGTTCAGAAAGGTTAAGTCATTTGTGCAAGAGCACCCAGCTGGGGCTCAAATCTGCATCTGTCTGACCGCAAAGCCTGTGCCCTTTTACTTTTCTCCGTGTGCAGCACGCGCCCATCACTGGCCGCCTTTACCCGGAGAGAAGGGTAGGAGAAAGGACTTCTCTTGCCTTAATATTTTGCCACTGATATTTGCTGAGCATTGTTCCCTATGCACTTTGCACGTGTAATGCGTTCGCTCTCACTACAGCCCCGGGACTCCCATTTTCCAGTTGAAGAAACTGAGTCACAAAGGGCAATTTGCTCAGGCTTCCCCAAGTGGAAAGTGGCAGAGCTGAGATTCAAATCCGGGCAGCGTGACTCTGCTATGCTGCAGCCACCTGGCATTGGCACCGGGAGAGCACGGGGACATGCACAATGGATAGATGCCCCTGGGCAGCCCGTGCCCTTCAGGAAGGCCCCGGCAGGTGGACGTGGGACGAAGGCAAGCCAGGCAGTGGTGTGTGGGCTGTAGCCATTCAGGTAGGGGGCCGTCATCTGGTCTTGGAGCATCTGAGGCAGGGAGCAGAGGCCCAGGCAACAGAGGTGCCTGACAGAGACGTCCTCCTCCCTTCCACGGCACACTCCTGCCTCACGGCCATATGCATATGCTATTCCTTCTGCCTGGGAAGCTCTTCCCTCGGGTGTACATCTGGCTTGTGCTCTCTCACACTTCCTGTGTCTGCTCAGGTGTCTTCTTTGAGAGCTCTCCTTACCACCATGTTTAGCATAGCACCCCCACCAGTTCCATCCCCTTGGCCTGCTTTATTTTTGACATACTATGTATTAATACGTCTCCTCCATGAGAAAATAGGCTCTGTAAGAGCAGGGACTTGGCCTGTTTTACTCTCTGGAGTATACCCAGCCCCTAGGGCAGCACCTGCCTCGCAGTCCTGCTCCTGCTCCATCAACATTGCCTGCACGAGTGAATGAACGAACGAATGGATGAGGCCAGACCCCAGTCCCTAGAACAGAGATCCGGTGTTGGAGCAGGACCAGCCGTCAGACTGACCTGCACCACCCCCAGCTGTGCCAGCCCGGGGTGGGGGGCTCATGGGGCGGGGTGGCGGATGTCTGGGACTCTGCTCCTGAGGCCGCCCCACGCTGACTACCTGGACCACTGGGACAGAGAAGCAAGTTCCCCTCTCCTGCCTCCCCCACGGCAGATGCCCAGGGGCGGGGACAGAGCAGACCCAGGCCACTGCAACTCTAGGGAGGGACAAGCACCTCCCTTAGCTTGTCTCCTCCATCTGCTCTAGTCACTGACAGCAGCCAAGAGTCAACGTGTGTGTCAGTGCATGGCTAACGGCATCTGCCATCTCTGTGCCTTTGCTGAATGTGCTATCATGTCACCTCCAGACAGACAGGGATATTGTCACTTGTGCACGGTGACTGGCACATGTGGCTGCTCCAGAACCACCTGCTGGATGGGCAGGTTTGTTGACTGTGTGATGTGGCCCTGTGTCCAGTGCTGTTGTGGGGCCACGTTGTACCCTTGCTGGTGATTCCACACCCGCTGTCTCCTGGTGTTTTTACACGGGGCCAGAGGAGCCCGGCGGGGGACAGTGCACGTGGTGCCTGGGACAGTGCCTGACCCAGGGAAGCCCTCAGCAGACGTTCGCTCGTAGAGTGAGCTGCTCCTGTTCCCATTTGGCACACAGTGACAGTGAGCCATGGGGAGGTCTAGCAAATGACCTACCTTGACCTTTAGCCTGGAGCTGTTTCCACCGCACACCCAGGAAGTACGCACAGTCGAACTGTTATCTGTTGTTTGAACTCCTCTGATCAGATCACGGAAGGGTGCGAGGCTCCCCAGTGGGCTCTTAGGCCACATCATAGTTAAATACCACGGGCCACGGATTTGGCTTCACTGGGTGATGGGTTTGGAGATTTGCAAGAGGGCCTGTGGCTCCGTCGGCCCGCCCCCCGCGGCCTGGAGCCCTCGGCACACAGCCGTGATTCTGAAAGCTGACAAACGCCCAGTGTTCCCGCAGACAGGCCAGAGAGATGGGGCCGCGCGGCCAGAACAGCTGGGTGGAGGCTGGTGGCAGGAGGTAGCATGAGGCCCTGCTTTGTTCCTGGATGGTCATGGGGTCAGTCAGAAGCACAGAGAAGCCCCTTTCCTTTCCCTCTGGACCGCAGCCCAGGATTCAGAGCTTCCTGCTTGCCAGCCAAGGAGAGCCGCCGGGAGAGCCCCAGATCGGCCTCTGCGCTGAGGCTGGCAGGCCACCAGCACCCAGGGCTGCCCAGCCCGCACCAGGGCCTCTCCACTCACACAGCCCTCCTGCCCGCTCCGGGGGTGGCACGGCGAAACAGAGGCCAAACCAGGAGCCTGAGCCCCAGGCCTCCCCAGCGCGCTGCTCAATGTCTGTGTGGCCTTGGGGAGGTCACCTTGCCCCTGCCCGCTCTCTTTCCTCACAACCCTGCCGTGGAGCTCAGAGGAAGAACCGAGTTCCATGTCCGCCCCCTAGTGCATGTGCCTCGGTGAAGAGGGGTGCAAGAAAGAGGAGGGAAGGAAGTGCAGGTATTCCCTGAGTATTTAAAGTGGCCAAAGGGGTTTCCACAAAGATGGCAGGGCGAGTGCCTGTTGCCAGAGCTGCCTTCTCTCCAAACGAACAGAAGTCACAGATGGAG